TCGCTTCGCGTTGAATTTTCGTCGATGTTAAGCCTAACAAAGACTATTGTATCGTTAAAAATTATTTTTTTATTTTGTACAAACAAAATAAATATATTGAAAAATATAAAAATAATAAAAAATTATACTTCAGATGTTAATTTAGTATCAAAAACGTAAAATATTTGAGTAGCCCAAGACATAGCCAAAGATTGAAGCGCCACAGCACTGGCGAAAATTTTAATTTGCCGACTGGAATTCTTTCGGATGATTGACTTTCGGAAAATCGATGCTCTACTGTAATTCAAAGATTATTAACAATTTCATTGTTAATAAATGCAGAGAAATCGTGGCAAAATCCGTAGCGTCGTCCGTGTTTGACTCTACGACAATTACAGAACTGATCAACAGATGGCGCATTTCTAGTGGCGTCGACTCAAAACGAAAACATAACTGAAACGAAAACTATATGTTTCAGTTCTGTTTATGAGTTTCTGTTTCAGGTAATATGGAGTCCAGGTTTAATTCCTCAATCTGTTTTTTTCCCCCTCATTTTCTTCCTCTTCACATCAATCTGCATTTTATCGGTTAATTTAAGATTCCGAGAGTCTTAAAATCGATTTTCTGGGAAAATTTTGATTTTCCTAAATCGGAATTTTAGTTTAAGGCGATGGGAAGAGAAATTATATGGCGAAAGTTAACCGATGGTCACATATTAAAACAATGGAAATGAATAGATAATTCCCCAAAAATGTGGCGCCTTAAAGAATGAAAAAATCCTAATTTTGTTTTTTGTTATGCGAATAGACTGACGTGGGTCCAACATGTCGAAAGTGCGTCACGTGGTACAAACTCGGAAAGTGAACGAGTAGGCGAACGAATGCGCATCACGTGATAATCTTGACACGTCTCGTCGAGAACTGTAATTAAGTCGCCGTCAAAGTCGATTGCAAACGTTCATCCGCTAATTCCAATCTCTAACGACATTTTGTGTTTCGTCTTTTCGGCTACGTTTGTTCTCTATACACTTCTAGGACGTTCGACCAATTGCTACGAAACTTGGCAATCACATTCAAATACTTGTAACTTAGATCATGTCGTAAATCCTATCCCAAAATATCGATTGGATTTCCATAAAGTAATTAAGTTTTATTTATATTGAATTTTCTGAATTACACGTATCGGCAAAAAGTTAACAAAATAATTAACTAAATTGTTACAAAAAAAGGACATAATTATGAAAAATATATATTATATTCACCGAGTTGCTGCGACAATAATATAGCGAGAAATTGATGCTCCATTACTGGACAGGTAGCACACAGCACTTGCGTACTGTTTTGCCCCTGTATATCTTACTTTTCCTGTTAGCCATAGAGTCGTGCCTGTTATATATCTAACTCCTTTTGGGGGAAAATTTTGAATCAAAGTAACGGTTCTAAACCGTATATAGTTAATCTGGGTCATCTGCCCTAAGCTTTTCACATCTGGCCTCGGCTTTCGTCTATCTAACTCCTTTCTCGAGATTAAGGAAGGACAAATAGATAAGTGACTACAATGGGAATTTATAGGTCTACAATTTTTTCAAATTTGAACCCAATTTTTATATAAACGCAATATTTACGAGCACTTCCCGCATGGTTTATACAATCTGTTGCCAAATTTTAAAAAAATTTTGGCAACAGATTGATTCGTTGGCAGATTACAGTTTGATACTCGGCTGTGAATAGTACAGTTTCTTAGAATTAACATTAGAAAATGTTATATCTGAAAAAATTTAAGATACAGTATATTTTCAATTCTTATCTACTTGACCATTGAATTTGTGCCATTTCTTACCATCCGAGTATCGCGATAAACACGACATTGGTAGGCTGAAATAACCAAAGTCTTTATATGGTTTTCGTTTTAATGTTTGTTATATTATAGTATTTGATTTATATAACTACAGAGGTTATTTTACGTAAGGGTTTATCACATCGAGTGCCCACTCTAACACATTTTAAAAATTCTTTAAATTGTGTACAGTAGAGGAATAAAGAATTTCTGAAAATGTGTTGGAGTAGGCACTCGATGTGATAAACCATTACGTAAAATAACCTCTGTAGTTATATAAGTCAAATACTATGTCGAAAAAGGCAAAGCTAACGTGCGTTTTAACACGTGACACGCGACTTCGAAACCCTCTATATTCTAATTGGTTGGAAAACCATGACATCCGGCAACTAGATCGATGCAATCATTGGACGGAAGCATCGAAATGTAAACGAACATAGTTTGTTTTATTTGATATCATTCGAGACACAGGAGATAAAAATAATAGTTTTTACTTTATTTGTAATATTAATAAAATCGAAATTTCGAGTAATTAAATAACATTTAAATTTGAATTTTTCAAGTATGTCTTTAAACAGCTGTACCGATCGATGTCGATGGACAAGATGGCGTCGACTGGGATGGACGAACGATCGCCCCTGCTTTCCTCTCAGAATTGTCCCTCGACAATTAATTACGGACAAGGTAATTATAAATTTGTGGATAAAATAGACCGAGGTTTTCCTAACTTCGTTGTCGCAACGTCGTATGGAAATGTCTCGGCTTTTTAAGGCTCGGCCAACGGAAGGGGTTGTTGCTATGCGCTTTTGACGTATACTTTCTCCAATCCATTTATCATTTAATTACCTTTCTAATGCGTTTTCTCATTAATTTAATAATTTCGAACACGACCGAAATACCTTTCTACGTTTTACACCTACAACGAAATTCGTTTAAAATATATCTACAGTTAATTGCTTTGGAAGCATCTACTTAACTGTTACTGCACTATGATGGATTCAATCATTTTTTTTAGCAAAGTGTTAATACAATTGAAAAGCGTCCGTTAAATCCTTATTGATTACGAAACAGTTACACATTTTTCTGTACTCTGTATTGATTGGAAGATTGTTGTTAACATTTCTGCTGTATGATTTATAATTTATGTAAAATTGCACTTATGGCGGGTAGGTCAGTTTTTAACGTATCGGTATACTGCCTGTTCTCCCCGCACCGTGTCGTCGTGTACCTCGGTGCTCACTGTTGCTCGCACCTTGGTACCGGGGGTGGGGGCCAGTCCCACGTTTCCCTAAAACTATGCAATGTCAAGTACTGTACTTACAATAACTTACAAATGAGCCTGGCGTTGCTCGGGCAAAATGTAACAATAGCGAAGATTAAGATTGTAGCCAATCTTATGGGTGCAAGAATTAGGTGCACGAATGGTCGAGTGGGCTACTCTAGTTGCCTGGGCTAAATAGTTGAACGCAATAGTCTTGACAGAGTGACGCAACTTGCAACCTCACGTGACCCAGTTTTGGGGGGCTGTAACTCGCCAAGGTTGCTTGTACAGGTATGGTTCCTTTGACTTTTTTACTTCTACGGGTATGCTTTACGGCTCCGATGAGATCTTGACCGTCTCCTTTGGAGCTTGAATTGAGCCGATGTTGTCGGGACTATGGTATGTTTTGCGTTCGAATTGTATTGCTGATCAAATGTACCAGTAGACCAAACTGATGATCCGGATGTAAATTGTTGCTTTGGATTCGTTCTTGCTCAAATCCTTTTGGATGGGTGGTGGTTGCCCGAAGATGAAGATTGAGGTGGAATGGAGTGATCCAAATTTGTGCTTAAATCATAAATGGTTTTTGGTGAAACTAACGGAGTAAATTTAAAATGGAATTTTGGTTTAGTTCAATGTTGTCTTTTAAATTTTGAACTGTGATGATTGTGGCAGATTGTTAAGTGCAGCTTTGAAAATAAGATTAGTTCAAAAGGGAACAAACTAAATTTTAATGCTTTAATGTTTTGTTTCTTCTTTTTAATTTTGATGTGTAAAATTAATTTTAATGAAACAGAATTGCTAGTTGACAGTTAAGGAAGGTTATTCTATGATCTTCTGAATTTCTTGTGGTTGTTAATGTGATTACTGTAGTTGGTACTTCTTGGTTGGTGTGGGCTAGACTATGAATAAGCCGTGATGACTCTCAGTTAGAGAAAAGGCTTTACCTGTAGTTTAGTGCAGTGTTTCTTGATTTTCTTTCACCTTTTCTCCCTTTTTGAGCTTAATATTTTTTTGTATATAAACATATCCAAGTATTGTATGTATACTAGAAATTCTCCTGTCAAGCATGAGAATATTTTTTATGAGAGATTGAAGAATTGAGAAGAGCTTCAAGTTGAGCTTGACATTGTGATGCTGTTTCTGCAGCCCTTGACTAAGCCATTCTTATTCAATGTTGCTCAAGTCGGACTTTGTGGCCATTCTTCTAGATCTAGAATTTACCTGACCAATTTTACTCTTATGCTTTCTCATGGCCATTTTTTTGACAAAATAGCAAGTATTTTTAATTCCATATTGATAAAACAAAGATGAATTGCACATACATTAATTAGATGAGTGATAACACTTTCTAAATAATGGGCTTGGTAGATCATTACTTCTGATTTTGATAATAGAACGTCACATGGTCACTATATTTTTAAAATTTAAATTTAATGAAGTAAGTTTAAAATATGCCATTTATCAAAATATTTAAAAATGCAACTTAAGGGAAATTCTCTCATCAAGCATGAACTAAATGAGGTTGCTGATGTCACTGCAACATAAGTGCAATCACCGATGCAAAATTGATAAAACATTTATTCTATAGCTAATATTTCCACAACATAAGTAGCCTACACTATCTATTAGAATGTAAAACTAATATAACCAAAATTTCATCTGGATTGAACAAAAATTGCAGGAGTTATAAGGAATTCATACACATAGACAATGGCTTTTATAGTAGTATTAATAGTGGTAAAATAGCCTGATTTATTAGAGATTGTTTGGCTTTAATATTTTTCATAACTTGTTTTCAAAGATTTTGCATAACAGACGACATTCTTAATGTTAAATTGCATAACTTTTAACCTTTGGATTTAAAATGTGTACCATACATCTGGTATTTCTGTATATAATTGTTATTTTTCTAAATACTTAAGTTTAGCTCCACATTCAATTTTATGCTAATTTCAGATGTTTTATTGTATATGTACCCAATACATCTATATGCAACAGGACTATACATTAAAATATATAGGCAATATATTTTAATAGTAAACTTTCGTGAGGGGAAAAAATAATAATTGATATGCTTTCTGTATATGTGCAAGATTCAACATGTCTTTCTTTATAAGAAATGTGTGTATTGTCTGATAACAAATAAAACATTTTAGATTCAAAATTCCCTTATCAAATTTATTTCTATAATTTATTTAAACCCATTTTTAATAACTTACATACATTTCTCTAATAATTTACTTACTGAAGTTTGTTTTCATATAATTTTAATACTTTATTTTAACTGTAGCCCCCTAAAATTTGCTCTGACTCCCTTGCAATGTTCTGTGGTCCCAAGGTGGCCATATGGTCTAGTGCCTCTAGCCCATGCTTATACCAACAGGAACATTGGAAATACCAACTATATATATCAGTTAAGCAATACAGTGTGTCATGTTTCAGATTTTAACATTCAATTTCACAATGGCTGTGACACTAACATATCTACAAACCAAGTCACACATCATTATTTATCCTGGAAAACTCAGGCAACCCATTTATTTACAAACTAGTTGCATTCAGAACCCTTATAAGTAGAGTGTTTATTCATTGTACTTATTTCACTGACACATTAATAGAACTTAAATGTCTAGAGTACATTGCTAAAATTTGCAGTTGCAGAAAAGGCTTCATTTTTAGTCTACACTGACAGGAACATTGATAGTACCAACTCTAATGATGATGTGTCAGGTAAAGATAATCAAAGGCACACCCATGACCTCAAATACATCATATTTGATTATGACCAAGATGTGAACACCTTATACAATGAAATAGCAGCAAATAGAGAGGGTCAAGTCAGCATACAAACATAATCTTATGATTTACAATTTACTCTGCAGCCACTGCAGAGTAAATTGAAAGATGAAGTCAGTAAATATAGATTACTGGGGTATACAGATTGTAGGAGATTACTGTTCCTACAAAGGATGACAGATTCCATAAAGTTCTTGAATTCTTAGGGTCAACCAAGCAGTCACTGTAAGAGATTAGCCAAACACAGGTATGAGATAGATAACAGGAAGTCCACTACTGCCCAGGTCATGTATGCTTCTGATAACAATGTACATGCTAATTTTGAAAATGCCACCCTCATCAGAAAAGCCTATAAGAATAGAACACATTAGGGCCCTTGAAGCTCTTGAAATTTTTAAATCTGAAATGAAAGGATGGTGTGCTAACTTCAAAGAAGAAAGAACACATATATCCAGCAATCCTTTTATAATAACCCAGAATTAGCACTGTATTACTGCTAATTGACAGCTATTGTTTATTATTTGGATGTACACTATTTCTCTTGTACTTTAAAAGATAATTTTTAAATTATGTGCTTCTAAGGTATATCATTTTTATACATTATGTTTAGAATGCTTTTCTCTCCTTTCCTTTTTTTAATATGTCATTGTTCTTTATTACTCACATTCAGTACTAAAGTAACATGTTATCTATAATTGACAGCTGTTAGTTATCAATCTTATTTGAGTGTACATTATTTCTCTTGTGATTTAAGTGATTACTTTTAAATTGTATTTTTCTCACAATAAGGTTTATATTTATTTGCTTTGAATGTTTTCTATTCTTTTTGTAATACATCATTATTCTAATAAATGAATCATCTGTAACAAGTTATTAATTAGTATAAAGTTTATCATTCTTATGTAGTCCTTGCACATAAGTGACAAAACTATTACTAATGTTTTTGGTCTAAACCTAAGTCCTTAAGGTAGATTTTTTCCAAAATTGAATCCTTCTGGTACTGGCATTCTAGACTGGAATGTTTAAAAGACTCTCTGCCCTGTTTGAATTTGAACACTGTTTTCTTTTTAAATTTTTCTTAAATATTCAATGGGATGTGTCTATTCACAGTCTATTATAATGCTGAGTCAACTATAGCCTGCCATGCTCTTGAGATCTTTTTCTTTCTTAAAATTGATGGATAGGCCTTGGAGATGTCTTAAATACCTCTAGCACATCTAAATTTCTGAGCTGATTTGTATGATATATTTTTTGTAGCTTTGGAATTATATAGACAAGGTGGCAGTTTTTTCTATATCAGTTTTATGTCCAAGAAGGCTTGAGAGACCTCTTCATAGACCCAATGTATTTGAGGTGTCTGTCAAATCTGTTATCATTATGCAGAATTTTACAGACTCCTGGTGCTCTCTACATTCACTAGGTCTTTCTCATTTTGTAATGGTTTGAGTGCATCAGGTTTTTGTCTGTATGTAATTTTGCACAAACATATGATGCTATCTGCTGATATAAAAAATGCATAGGCTGTGAATAGACACCCCATTGGTTGTTTAAGAAAAATTTAAAAAGAAAATGTTTGAATTTCAACACGACAGTGTCTTCTACACATTTCAATCTATTAACAGAA